CTTATTTCTTAGTGTTCAAGTACTTACATTTGTAAACAGCAGTCAATGTTAATCTATGAACTAAACCCTACGTAAAATCGATCTTTCCTTATGTGGTATTGATGCATGTTTAACTTTTCGCGGCTGTCGGAATCAACGCGCCTACGTCTACGGAGCTTACGCAGAAGTGATTCGCAATGCGGTAGAGCTCAACAAAAGTTTTTTTTTTGAGCTTCTGTAGTATAGAATTTGTTCGGTGCGGTCGCGAAATTTTGAAATGATTGATACGTGTGGTAAAATGACTAAATTGAAACAAAGCTCAATAGTAAAATAAGTAGAATATCTAGGGAGGAAACCAAAATTAATCAACTTGCCAACATAGACTATCACATTTATTTTGGTGGCACTCTTCAAATGATAATAAGCCTTTTTTTTCTCGCTTCGGTGGTCTCGCACGGCTTTCGGAATTCGCGCGGTTCTCGTAACTTACATAATTTAGATATTTCGTTCGAAACGGATTTACTTATTCAATCGGTTTACTACGCGGATGTATCTACGCACACACGTCACAGCATTTTTTCTATAACTATCTTGAAACAATACATACGGAATCCAGTGTTCAAGCGGCCAACATAGGCTAGTCCTTCTGCTGTATTGTCAAAGATAGAAGCGAAATTTATTCACATGGGTCAAGTCTTGAAAACTAAGCTGTCACGCAGCTCCAGCTTGATACCCAAAAAAAAACCCGCCAACCCTCCAAATTCACCAGAGATTCGTCCGGTGGAAAGATTTTGGGCCATAATGAAGGCCAAAGTTCGGAAATCGTCCAAGGTGTTTAAGAACGAGCTGGAGTTGAAGAAAGAATGGATGAAGGTGACCAAAAAGGTCGGCTCCACCATTGCTCAAAATGTAATGAGGGATCTTAAGGGAAAGGTGCGGGCTTTCACCGATGGAAAGGAAATTGAATAAAGTAATTATGCCGAAACATAATCTATAAGTATTAGTTCATTCCCTGAAAGTTTTAAGAAAATCCGGCTTAAAATAAATTTTTGGCGAACACTTTTGTCTGGTGCATTTTTTTCGAGTACAGGCCTTATAAGTTGATTTTTAAGCGGGTGGCCATATTGCCATCCTTTCCCCTACAGGTTTCAGAGGTATCTATTTGGGTGCCAAATATAGGGCTGTTACAACAGGCGCGGATTTCGCGAATTTCGCGGATTTCGCGATTTTCGCGGATTTGTCGCGGATTTGAACTTTCAGTCGCGAAAATCGCGGAAACATTAAATGATGTCGCGAAAATCGCGAAGGGACTGATGTGCTGTCACAAAAATTATGGAATTCATTGTAACCTTTCCGTCCCGGATTATAATTCCCTGAGGTCTGTCCAATGTGAGACATTTTCCTTTTTTCCAATATTAACATAGCAATTTTCGTTGTCAAATCATAAACGAATCGTATAAATGCGAGTAATTGCCATGTATACCGGATATTCTAGGTTCTCCAAATCGTCCTGGAGTTCAGTTGATTTGTTCTACTAGATCAACCAAGACTCCAATAATGTCTGTAATATCGAAATATGTCCAAACAGATTCAAAATGTCTATGTCGATTGTAGTCGACCTATTGCTACGTATACAAGATGTTATAGGTTCTGAAATCATTCTGGAGATCAGATTATTTTTCTACTAGATCACCCAAGACTAATTCAATATCTGTAGTAATATGCTCTAACAAATTTGCAGTGTCTATGTGGATCATGCCAACCTATTTCCGTGTATGCCAAATGTTCTAGGATTTCCAAATCTTTTTTTTTTATATATCTTTATTAAGGAGACTTTCAGCCGTTGGCTGGCTCGTCTCCGTTTTTCCAAATCGATATTTCGATACTACAGATATTATCCTAGTCTTTGTTGATCTAGTAAAACAAATCATCTGAACTGCAGGAAGATTTGGAGAACCTTGTTCATCTGGTATACGTGGAAATAATTAAACATTATCCATATAGACACTATGAATCTGTTTGGACATATTTCGATACTACAGACTTTATCCCAGTCATAATTGGTCTAGTAGAATAAATCATCTGAACTCCAGAACGATTTGGAGAACCTAAAACATCTGGTATACATGACAATAGTTCATGCATGATCCACATAGAGACTGTGCATCTGTCTGGAAATATTTCGATCCTAAAGACATTGTCCCAATCTGGGTTGATCTAGTAGATCAAATTATCTGAACTCCAGGACGATTTGAAGAACCTACAACACCTGGATTACTCGGAAATAGACGCATAGACGCTTTGTATTTGATTGGACATTTTTCGATACTACAGGCTACAGACATTATTGCAGTCTTGGTTGATCTAGTAGAACAAATCAACTGATGTCCTGTACGATTTGGAAAACCTATAATTTCCGGTACATAGTAATAAGTGGTACATGATCCACAAAGTCACATATATACGATTCGAACAACCGAAAAGTGCTAGGTTCGTATTAGAAATAAAAAAAATATGAAAATGTATCACCATTGGACAGAACCCAAGGAATATCCGTGTAAATACACAACCGCGACGTGACCAACAAGTGTGACTTATGAATCTCTGGTAATTTCTCGATTATGTGCAGGGCGTTTGGTTTGAATCGGAAAAAAAATTGAGAAAACTAGAGCAAAATTAACTACATAGGATGGTACAGGCATAGAAAGCTCTCAATTAAAATGTGAAAGTACTTCAAAGAACACTAAGTTGAGAGCAGGCAAAATCTAAAATGCTATAAGCACTAAGCTTGTAATGCTATTTTTCGACAATGAAAACAGTTTTTTTTTTGTCGCGGATTAGTACTTGAAGTCGCGGATTTCTTTTGAGAAATCGCGGATTTCGCGGATCAAATTTAGAAAATCTTGTAACAGCCCTGCAAATATATAAAAAAGTGATAAACTTCCCCCCTTTTACGGAACATTACGTACGTCACGCTCTAGAGGTTGATTTTTCCTCAATTTTGGGTGACATTTCTTAGAGACTGTCCATATACCACATGGACAATTTTTGAGAGGTTTTAGACTCCTCCCTCCCGCTGCGTGGGCTATCATCCATATACATTTTTGTAAATTCGCATTCCCCTAAACTGTACACGTGGTATATGGACAGCCCCCTTAATGGATGCTCCCCTATGAGGCCATGGGATACGAGGCAAATATTTCGTATGTTGAAGTACCACGGAAAAGTTTACGGATTCTTTCCGCGCCATCCCGAAAGCAAATGAGCTCGCTGTACATGATTAATGACGTGGTTCCGCGCTTGTACCTACTGATTAAACGAAACTCATTTACACTCTCGCTCTTCCGTTTTTGATGTTCTGGTGGGCGGGGGTGGTTGAAGACGTGACTTAATTTCCAGTTTCTTTTCTGGCACCATGCCCCTCCCCCCTTTGACCTTTTCCGCATTTTTATCCCGCTCCACCAAAGAACCAGGAAAAAGAGGGTTTCCAATTACATACACATTGTGTATTATTGCCACTCTACTCTTCGGCTTGAATCACCGGATCCCGTCGGGTGGTGCGCTGGTGGGTGAGCAAGGGATATAATGAATTCGTTTCTTTGTCGTAAATTGTTACGTGATGGGCATTTCAGTTACGGTAAAGACATTAACAATATCTACGTAGTATCTGTTAGGAGAAGATACCGCACTCGTGTTGATGCTCTTCCATTAGGAGCAGTATTCCGCCTTCTGTAGTTCAATCGAATTAATTATGGGAATTCAGCGCATCGTCTGCTCGGTTGTCGATTTGCGTTGTGTGAATCAAATTGATTGTAGGATTGAATTTGAATTCGATCAGATATTTCGTTGAAAGGTTTCTCGAAGAACGAACTATAACTCTGCAGCTGCAATTTCATGTATTGCCCTCTTCTAGGTTTGTGAACGATAAGAACCTGGTGCAGCGTGTCAACATTTGTTCACTGTCTACCGTGCCATGTCTTATCTGAAGCATCGTTTCGTCTTCACTCATTGGTAAACTCATCAGAGCCACCCTATAGACTCATTACTCCTTCCCATCATTGCTTGCAGCTCGTATAAAGGAAAAAGCTCAAAGAAGACATATGCACACGACTTGCTTCATTAGATAAGCCTTCATGGGCAATTTGTGTGAGTGACTTGTCTTTTGTTTTCGAATACCACCTGTACCACAATCTGCTCTACACTGGCAGTCAATTAAGGCTACGGGTAATTAGTTTGTTGCTTTTTGATCGATGCAGATCGCCGGAGGGCAGGACGACGGATGGGTGTCCTTTTTCTATCAAATTAATCTTCTGTCCTGCAGGACATGTTATTCGTTTAGCCTCGTTTCTTTTTCAAATTGTTAGCAGTTGTGTGACATCCTTGTTGGATTCATCACATCCTTTACATGGGACTCACAAATGCTTCACTTGAAAAAAAAAAAAAGAATAGCCCTTTCAGCAGCTATAAATAACCTTCACTCACGTCTCGGATTCAATTTGGAAAAAATTGAAGCTATGTTCACACTTGAGTGAAGAGTGAAAAGCTTCCAAAAGCACAGCCGTCCTATCCTCGATCATGGGAGTGCGGGCGTGCGTGTTATTTCTCGTTTCATTTTCGCCAAACAAGCTTCAATCAGTCACCTCTTTCCTTCAATTCTGAGAGTCGTAGACTTTTCCATATGGTGCGTGGACTCATCCATCTTTCTGCTTTTCCCGTACTCTAACAACGAAAGGAAAATTGATTCGTTTTATGTTTCATTCTCCTCACCGAAAACCAAAACGCTTGGTTGTTATTTCATACTATGGTGATTCAAAAGATGGCTATGATGATGGGGCTGTGCTTTTTTTTTCCTTCCAAGTGCCATCTGATTGCTACTGGAGTGGTTCTCGGTAACGAGCTACGAACTCAACTCGATATGAGTGCGGAACTGTGCTACGCCTTGGTCGGGAAACTGAAACACCGTTGAGTGATGTAGTAGAAAGTGGCATTAACTTTTTTACTTTCTTTTTTTTTCATTTCAGAAAAATCTCCATCTAAACATTCAGAATGGCTACTCCTGCGGGATCTGCAGATGGGTGAGTAATGCGATTTACAACTAACAACTAATGTGTGTCTCTTTTTAGAACTGTTGGTAGAGCAGGTCGCAATTGAACGTGGTGTATCAAAATCGCTGGATGTTCAATGGTAATCATACACAAATTCCTCGTCGTCCACCCACCCCTATTTTTCGACAGTTTTACAACCTCTTGGTCTAATTTGTTTGTATATGATCAACCGTAAACCAGTCACTTAAATCAGAAAATCAGCTCAATTGGTTAATAGACAGCCGAAAAAAAGCGATAGGTCGGTGGCACCATCTCCGAGTCGGAAAAAGTCGGGAATTCCATTGTGAAATCGGGCATTCTGATTTTTTGATTTGTATGCATATAGTTAGCTCCCTCAGCTCAGTCGGTAAAGGCGCAGGTACAAAGCAAGCTCTCAATTCAAGAACAACATGTGAAAAGGGCATACAAGCTTTTTGTAAACAAAGCTTGGTAGGCCCTTTTCTCGCCAACCGAGGGTCACCCACGCAAACCATCAACATCACCGGGAAGGGGAAGCTTTCTCCTTCCCGACGATGTTGTTGGTTTGCGTGGGTGACCCTCGGTTGGCGAGAAAAGGGCCTACAAAGCTTTGTTTACAAAAAACTTGTATGCCCTTTTTACATGTGGCTCTTGAATTAATAACTGTGGAAGTGCATCTAGAACACTAAATTGAGAGCAAGTAATAAGCTAATTTAGCCTTTTCTGCACGGCGTGTGAGGTGAGGTGTCACGATGTCACTTGTGAAATGACAATTTTCACCTCGGGTGAGGTGACTCTCCGTGCAAATCAAATGGAGAGTCACCTCACCCGAGGTGACAATTGTCACTTCACCATCAGAGATTGATACGTAAGTTTGATTGCGACTTGCCTGCTGTCTTATTCGACCCAGAAATAGTAATAAGTTAGTCCTATCGGCAAATTTCTGCAACTAATGATTGACCCAAGCAGAAGCAGCACACTGAACTCCTACGAGTAGTCACCCTTCTCCTTCCCTAATGCACGTCTTGTCCCCATACAGAAGGCCGTTTCTGTTCGCACTGTGTGTATAACTCTGTGTCCAGTAGATTTGGTTTTCAAATTTTATTAATCATTACCCTTCAACACCGTTTCCCTTGTTCGCACCTCTCTAATCTGTAAAGTTTTCCTAAATTACCACCCCCACCGACCGGTAGCACCCAGCCAACGGGAAGCAACGCCAATGCCAACGGTGTGGCCGCCAATCGGCTCAAGCAGACCCAGGCCCAGGTGGACGAAGTGGTCGGCATCATGCGCGTGAACGTCGAGAAGGTGCTGGAACGGGATCAAAAACTGTCCGAACTGGATCAGCGGGCGGATGCACTGCAGCACGGGGCATCACAGTTCGAGCAGCAGGCCGGCAAGCTGAAGCGGAAGCAGTGGTGGGCCAACATGAAGATGATGATCATCATGGGCATCATCGGGGTTGTCCTGCTAATTATCATCATCCGTAAGTATTATCTTCTAAAGCTTTTCCTGTGACTGCATCTGCCACTGGTGTACGCTGTTAATTAGGTGGTGCATGTGCTTGCATTAACGTTAACCTAGTTGTCTGTAAAGTTTTGTCCTGAAAAAAAGTAGCACTAGGAATAATTATATGTAGCCGTATTTTTTTTCACGCTCGTTACCCGGATTACATGCTTGGTGCTCGGAAGCGGAAAAGTTAATTCAAATGTGTGCTTTTTCCGGAAGTCAGAACCGGGAAAAAAATCCAGCTGAGCACAGAGTGTTGCGTTGCACTGTGGGACTTTTGTTTTTTCCAAATCTGTTAACCAGTCCGGAAAGCGTTTTCAACAACAAACTGCACTTCAACTTGGCCGGATGCTTCAATTGTAAATAGCATTCAAACGAGGAAACATAAGCTTTCTCCCGCAGTTTCCCCTGCTTCCGCGATTGTTTTTTCGCACATCTATCCTAGGAAAAACATACCCAGCCACCCGTATTGCATCATCATCACCATCGTCGTCGTGGGAGTAGTAATTCAAGCTGCCCGGGCTAAATTGCATGTTAACGTCGGGAGTTTGTTTTTCTTCTGTTTCGCCCGGAGTTTCCTTTTCCGCGTGCTCGGCCCTTACTAGCACTGGCCGCACTTTCCGTTTGCAACATCCGGTCACGGTACAGGATTCATTTACATTTTAATTAATTTGAATTCATTTAGAAACATTTTCCGTACACCTTTTTTCTCGCGAGTTGCTCCATGCTGTGTGCTGCTTGGCTTTCCGGTCCGTCCGTGTTGTTGTGTCTTGCTCGGTAAAACGGGAAAATATGTGTGTTCGGTCCTTCTGCATAGGAACCCGGTGCCGGTCAGCACCCGCCGGTAGTTGAGAAAGGACATTATTTTTATGCACAATCTGAAGGCTTATTTTGCGATGCAGAAAGCGAGTTCGTTAGAGTATAGGCTAACCGACACCGCAGAATGGTTTTGCTATGGTTTAATTTGTATCGTCATAGGTAGGAGCTGTTTGTGCAGGGAAAGTGAGACTGCATCGCTTGGCATTAAAAATTCATTGATTTTTTAGTGTGGAAATAGCCATAAATAGGAACGAAGTTGTTTACTTAAATTAGGGTTGGTCACTTGTAGTACCACTTATTTCAACTAACTAAAAGTAACTAAAGTCGCTTTTTTCTCCACGGCATACAAGCTTGTTGTAAACAAACCTTTGTAGGCCCTTTTCTCGCCAACCGAGGGTTGCCCACGCAAACCAACAATATCATCGGGAAGAGGAAAGTTTCTCCTATCCGGTGATGTTAAAGGTTTGCGTTGGTGTCATATGGGTGGCGAGAAAAGGGCATAAGAAGGTTTGTTCACATGTTGTTCTTGAAATGACAGCAAGTCGACACCGTGGGCGTCGGTTAGCCTATATATGGGGCAGGGATGCCAGATATACAGACATGTCTGTATTTAAACAGACATTTAATGATGCATACAGACTTCATACAGAGTACATACATTATACAGACATTGGTAAAAAGTTGCAGATTTATACGGACATTAACCAGCTACATAAAAAAAGAAGTATATCAGTAAAGAATTGAGTTGCTTGCATATAAACAGCAGATATTTGCCAAAATACAGAGCTGTTACGACTACCTGGGTTTCACGAGTGAGACTTTGCAGATTTCACTTGATTTTTTAATTCGAATTTGAGTATTTGTAGCCCTTCATAATTCTGAATCTCTAAGACCTCTCAGAACTTCCAAAACCTTACAGTTCCCTGAACACTCTCCGATGATCTCTGAACCTCTGAACCTAGCAATAGTTCTCAAATGTATTAGAAGTTCTTTGAGTTTCTCTGCTTCTTCTTTTCATTATTCCTGATTACTTAGGAATTTCTCTGAGAATTTCAGATAATTTCATAACAGCTCAGAGAGCTTCATAGAAGCTAAGAGCACTCCAGGGAGGTCTAGAAAATGCTAGATAAATTTCCTGAATTTGAAAGAAGGTTAGTGGACTTTTTAAAGAAACTCAGTGAAATTTAGAGAAGCAGAAATCTAAAAAAGGCTCAGAGATCACCTTTAAGATATTTGGATGAATTTCAGAGGAGTTTAGTGAACTCTATAGAAGTCTGGCAAATAATTGAGAAATTTCGTGAATTGAAAACGAATAATGGACTTAAGAGAAATTCAGATAAATCTGAACGCATACTCAATGAGGTGAAGGAAATATCAAAAATATACAGGAAACACATCAGACAAGTTTGAGAGGACTTCAGAGAAGCTTAGAAACCGTAGAAAGGTTACTCGAAGACGTTCAAAGTAACCTTAGTTCAAGTAGTTGAGAGTTTTCAAAGAAGTTTAGGGAATTTCAACAATGTTAGGAAACCTTGAAAATGCTTTGGAATCTTCTATTAAAATCTAACAATAAATTCAGGAAATTTAGGGAACTATAGTCATTTTAAGACCTCCCGAAAACCTATAAAAAATCAAGGATCCTCAAAAATGCTTTAAAACATAAAAGAAGTTAAGAAAACCTGTCACAAATTAAGTGAATCGGGATTGTAGTATATTATAGGTCACTTTATGGAAGTTCAGAAAATTTTGGAAAGGTTCAAAATAGGCTCAGAGAGGTTCACAGAACATCCAGTTGGGATATTTCAGGTTGAAAATTTCTTATATCAAAGTTTACTACAAACCTTTGAATTATGGTTCGAGTGGATTTGGACTGGATTATATTTAAAATTTCTCGTAACTCAGCAATTGACCAACGCAGGTTTCAGATTTGTTGGTGCCTCTTTCATTGAATGTGACTGTAAAGTAATAATCACGAAATTACGAAAAAAAAAATGGTTACGCAAATATGCATTTGCAATTGCAACCTTGCTCAGAAATGACTTTCACATCTTCCACACAACTCTCCCTCTTATACCTAACGGGTGTTCAATAAAAAATGAGAATTATTTCAGTGCCGTCCAGCGCTCTTGTGAGAGCATCGCGACTAAGTTGCGTCGTACGACTGACAAGGGCTTCTTCTCCAATATTCATTGACGTTTTTTTTTGAAGAATAAACATTATGTTTTTAATAAAAAATACTGAATTCGTTGAAATTTTTTTTTTACTATGACTGAAAAAAATTTCATTTTTTATTGAACACCCGTTACTCTCAGTATTCAAAATGTATGGTACAGACAAATGCAGACATTTTATTAGCATTCATACAGACAATTTGCAAAACCATCTGGCATCCCTGATATGAGGCTAAAGCTGACACCAATACCAATACACAGACTGCACATGGTGCGCACCTGCACAACGATGAAAAGTTGTATTCGAACTTATTGAGCACTTTTCGCACGAGCACCCGAAGCTTGGGTATGTAGAACTCCTGCCGTAGTTCATTGCATGATGATCCCTAGGCAGCACTACGGGATATTTGGCTGCGTAGTGAATGTGCGGTGCGCTTCCAATTCCTACCCGAACGACTCGGTGTTCATCTAGAAATGGAACCAGCAATTGTAGTGTACTTTGTTTTCCAACGTAGCGACCATTGCTCAGCTCGTAAACCGCCTCCGAATATTCCTGCGCTTGAGCGTGGTGTAAAATTATTTCCTTTGCCTGATCGTCCTGATCGAGGCCTTGCCGTCGACTTACTCCGCACAGAGTTCGCTTCCAGATCCTTCCGCTAGGTGAACGTTGACCATCGTTCGGACTAAACGATTAAAGCTCGAAAAGCGTTTGATGCTAACATTCTCTGAAACTGTTTCGTGTACGGCTACCGTACGAAGTTCTTTGCTTGTCGCATCCACTTCGTCCACTACTCCTGATTGCCTAGGCCACTTCTCTTTCGTATCTCGTAGGAAGGGTGGGCCTTGAAACCAATGGTTTTCTGAATCGGACGATGGTCCCGAATTCCACTTAATGGCATCCACACAGGTGAGCGGAAGAATTTCGCCAACCCGAAAGGATACGAACTGATGATATCGGCGGCTGTCCGAGCAAAGCCACACCAAAACTGTAGCTGAGTCCAGTCCACAAGAAACGCTTTGAGGGTGATTGCCGTAGAAACATCATGGCAGCTTGAAGCTCCAAGCGAGGGATTGAGAGTGTTCGAAGCGGTGCGACTTTTGTCTTTGCTGCTATCAACGAACACCAGCTACCTCCATCGAACGACATCCTCAAATAAGCTACACAGGCCGCTACGATAGCATCCGTGAAAACATGTTAATCTATCCAGCAGGCCACTTTTCACAAAAGTTGATAAAATAATGTTTTTGTAGTGTACCAACAGCGTACCATAGCGTACCTTCAAGGATTTTCAACGTACCTCGCAAATTCCTTGTTTTAGAGTGTCCTAAATAGGCGGGTGATTTTTCGAAAATCTTCATTAAACCTTCCAAAACCTTTACCAATGTAGTGAACCAATAGCATACCTTCCTAATCTGAGGTTCATCTTTAACGTACCTCAAAATTTACCATACTTACTTATATAAAACTCTTTAAAATATATTATATGTAAAATCTGACTTCGGATTTGGATTCCTCGAGAAATGTTAGCCCGATTTGACCCAAAAAACATATTACTTAAGTGTATTCTACGCTACTTAATGACCAAAAACGTGATTTTAAAATAAGTCTATCGAAATACCCTTGAATACCTACATCCAGGTAAACATTGTGTTTACCCCTGAAAGTAGATAACCAACAAAAATGGGAAGTTCGAGAAACAATATGCAATGGGTACAGGTTGAACGTACCTCAAGGCAACTCAAGTTTATATGGATGGAATGGATGATTTAACGGCGCCGGTGGTGTAGTGGTAAGCGTGATTACTTCTCACCCCAACAGGCCTGGGTTCAATCCCAGTCGGCGCCGCCGGGATGTTCTGAGGCATAACATCTCTGATCACGCCTTCCTTCGGATGGGAAGTAAAGCCGTTGGTCCCCGGTTCATGAGTTGATGGGTCGATAGGTAGGGTCCAGGTGTGGGAGCTGCCTTCCTGGCACGTCGGTAGCA